CGGTGGCTGTGCCTGAGCGTGCTGGGCTTCCACCATCCTTGGCCACCAGCTCCAAGGTGTAGGAAGGCTGGCGCTCACGGTCCAGTTCCTGGAGCAGCACCAGGTCGGCACAGCGTGCCCCATCCGCCCGTGTCTGTGCCTCCACACCGAAGTGGCTGTTGAGGGAGACCTGGAAGCTCTGGATGGAATTGGAGCCCACGTCCTCATCCACAGCCACCTCCAGCGGGAGACGAGTGCCGGGTGCAGCACTCTCCGACACCTCCAGCGCCATCTGGGCATGGGGGAAGCGCGGTGCGTTGTCATTGATGTCACGCACCTCCAGTTCCACGTGCACCAGGCGGTAGCGCTCCCGCCAGCAGCTCACCACGTCGAAGGCGAGGACACACTGCGGGGCTTGGCCGCACAGCCGCTCCCGGTCCAGCCCCGCTTCACCGATGCTCAGCTGCCCGTCCTCCTCCCGCACCCGCACCAGCGAGCTGTTGCTGAACTGCCGCATCAGGCGAAAGCTCATCTCCCCCGGCGCCTTCACCGGCATCTCGTCGGCCAGAGTACCGATCACCGTGCCCGGCGCGCCCTCCTCGTCGGTGCGATACCTCACCGTCTTGCAGCGGGACAGGGCCAGCAGGCAGGCGGCGGCCAGCAGCCGCAGGGGGCTCATGGCAGCGGCGCGGGGCTGAGCCCGACGGCGCGGTGCGGACGGGCGGGACGGGCGGGGTGCGGGCGGGGCGTGCGGGAACAGCTCGGCCGCCGTCTGCGGCCCCCGTGCCGCCGCGCCGCCTTTCATAGACGGCGCTATGCAAATGAGCGGGCGGGGGAGCCAATGGGAGGCGGCGCGGCGCGGGCGGCGGGCGGCCCCCGGCGCTCCCCGGGCCGGGCCGGGAGCGGGGTCGCGGGGCGCTCGGCTTTGTTTTCTTTAACTCTGCGGGGTCTGGCGGTTTTCTTTTCTTTTTTCCGTTTTTCTTTTTTCCTTCCCCAGCACCGTCACTATTTCTTTTCCCGTAATTATTTATTTCCTTCCCCCCACCCCCCCCGCCCCCCCTTTCCTCTCTCTCCCGTCTCTTCCCTCTCTCCGGAGGCGCGGCAGCGGAGCCGGCGAGGGGAACACGGAGCGCAGTGCGCGGTGGGGTTTGTTAATCCTGCCAACAAGTCGGGACAGGTGCCGTGCCGTGGCATGCCGTGCCGTGGCATGTGGTGCCGTGTCGTGGCATGTCGCGCTGTGTCGCGGCTTGCGGCGCGGGCGCGGGCGGGGGAGCGGGGCGGGCGCGCATTAGCGGGGTGCGGGGGGGCGGCGGGGGCGGCATTCAGCTGCGCCCGGAGTGGTGTGTCACTCGCGTGAGAGCCTGTGATCAGCGCCGTAAGTCGCCTTTCAGGAGGTGTCCCCGCATGCTTTAGTATGCATGTCACCGCCCGGGTTTCTTAAGCCTGGGGCACTAGCAGGCGAGGAGGAAAAAAAGGGGGAAAAAAAGTTCCAAATAGGATTTAGCATAAGCTTGAGGAGATTTGGAAAGGTTTCAAAGATCAGGCTGTATCAAAGGCTTATGAAGCCCTCGTTAGCTGTAGAAATATAATAGCATGGCAGGCTATCCCATTCGAGGAACCAATGTCTGTATTATTTCACTATGACAGGCTAAAGGGAGAGAAAGTTGAACAGTTTCCACAGAGGAGTTGGACTAAGTTGAATATAATGAGCAAACGCCACATGTATCCATTATGTCCCTCTATTCATTCCCAATCACTGCCATAACTCTTTGACTAAACGATGATGAGCGCTGAATTACACACAATGCCCTGCTCATATTAAAATACATTTAAGACCTATCCCTCCTGGTGCCCTGTTACGCCTATTCACAGGATTTTCTTTTTGTCCTAATAGGGCCTCTCTGGGAAGCAACACCAGTCTCGTTCCAGAAGAACAAAATAACAGCATGAGGCTGAAACCTGGCACGAACCGGGGGGAACGAAACCATCTGCCCCGCAAGGCACCGAGGCCCTGCGCGGAGCCCGCTGCAACCTCCCAGCCCCGCAGTGCCTCAGCAGCCGTGGGGAGGGCGGCTGCCTCATGGGAGGAAGATGGGGGTCCTGAGGGGCAACCGCTTCTCCGGGAAACCTCATGCCTTTCCTTTCCCTTTTCCCTTTTCCCTTTTCCCTTTTCCCTTTTTTTTCCCCTCTCCCTCTCTCTCTCCCTCTCCCTCTCCCTTCTCCCTCTCCTCTCCGGAAACCGGAGAGATGAATTTTAAAGGAAGAGGGTGACAAACAGAATGCGGTCCGGTCAAACCCCGCTCCGCTCTCCTTCTAAAACCTGGGATACGAGCGCTGGCTCGGCGCACGGAGCGCTGTAGCATCCCGGGGGCTCCATCCCGGGCTGCGTGCGGGGCTGCGCGGGGCGGCACGCGAGCGGGGGGCGGCGGGCTGCCCGCAGCTCCGGCTTATGGAAATGGGATTTAAATCGCGCCTCGGCCCTGGCTGCGGGGGCGCGGGGAGGGGGGCACGCTCCGCCGCCGACAAAAGCTCCCAGAACACGCCGCTTCCATACGAACGAACCTCCGCGGAGCTCTTTTCTCCTGCCCGCGGGAGCTCCGCAGGCGGTCGCCCGGCGGGGCGAGGAGCGTTCGGGCCGGGCCGCCCAGAGCCGAGCCGAGGTCCGCACCACGCAGAGGTCCGAGGTGTAGAGATTGGGACCGGGCTGCCTGGGAACGGGGCCGCTGGTCGGGAGCGGGCAGTGGGCAGCGGGGCGGCCCCTCGTGTGTAACAGGATTATCTTTGCCATTTCAAGTTCCATACAGCATGTAATTTATTTTTAATTAGGATTAGATCGAGCAGAGAAGGAGACCAGACCTTTCCCCCACCTCCCCCTCTCCGCAAAGGCATGGCTATTCCACGAGGAGCTCTTATTCTTTACAAAAAAAGCCAATCAATCGATAAACCAGGACCTGTGTTCACCTCCCACGCACTTTGCAGGAGAAAAGGGTGAAAAGGGCTGTATTTTCAATGTGTGCTCAAGTATCTGAATCAGAAGGGAAGGCTTGGAGATCTTTCCATTTTCCCATCCACCCGGTCCTGCTCTCACATGCTTTCTATCCAAACCCATTTTTAAGACGGACACAGTGGGATCCTGCTCCTCATGCCCCTCCCCCCATCTTTTTTTTTTTTTTTTTTTTTTTTTTTTTTTTTTTTTTTTTTTTTTTTTTTTTTTTTTTTTTTTTTTTTTTTTTTTTTTTTTTTTTTTTTTTTTTTGTATGTGTGTTTTGTTTTAGAGTTCAAATGCACTTTCTGCCTGCTTGGGTTATTCTTTTTCCATCGTGACTTTGATTTTAAAAAAACCCCAACGTATCAGTCTCTCCGCCTTCTCCCCAGTAGAGCCCACCACAGAAATGTTCTGAAAGGCTAGTGAAGAATCCTGTTTTACAGCTCAAAATAAACATACGGATCAGCTGCATTAAAAGCACTTCTTTGAAATATTGTGGTTAAACAGCCCAGATTGGTTGATTGCTCCATGCGGGGACATATGTTCTTGCAAACTGTGTGTATTGTTACTAATGGGGATTCTCACACCACAGCCTTTCCTTTGAATCTGAGGCACTGGTGGTTTCTCTGGAGCTGTTGCAAGGTTGTTTTAATAATTTACCAGCTCTCTTGCACTTAGTGTTGTTGCAGAGACTCAGAGCGTGCAAAGAAGGAGGTGTTTTGCGGTGTCCAGAGGTCTGATCTCTGCTGCCAAGCTCCTTTCTGTACCTCTTTAGACGCAGAAATCTAAGCTGCTCCGAGAGCTGGGTGCCAGGCAAAGAAAAAAAGCAAGGTTTCCCCACGCACCTCTGTGAACCTGGGTTCTTGAGCAATGTGTTGCTCCCAAAGAGGGGGAGCACTCCTAGACCACCAGCCTGTTGCCAATATCAGTCAAGTGATTGCCAGCAAATCACTCCAGGTTTCTCTTTTTCAGCTTTAAACTAACTTATTTTTTCTCCCGATTCAGTCCTTAGAAATAAAGTTTGTGGGTGCTTTTCCCTCTCACCAGGTAGCTATTACCTAACAATGGGTGGCAAAACCCCAGGATCTCATCTTGTTCTTCACTCCTCCAGCTGAGCAATGACACTTAACTGCTTTTTCCCATCACTTACAGCACAGTAGGTTCACATATGTCTCAAGGTGTCAAGTGTTCCCAGTGCAGCAGGGTAAGACTTCCCTCCTCTCAACAGGTGCCTGGGATCCTGCCCAGGGATCTCTGTTCATGGAGATAAGCTAGAAGGTTTTATGTTTTAGAGGTGTGAGAGAAGGTTAGGCTCCCATTAATTCCTTTCCAATATCTCAGGACCATATGTACCTTGAGGGAGTGTGCAGCTTCATGCAAGCTGCAGTGTGCTTCCCTGTTCCCAGGAGAGCATAAGATCGTAAGATCGTAGGATCACACTTTCACTTGGCTATTGGAAGTGCCCCTCTCTGGCCCTCTCAACATAGGCTGTATGGTGAGTGCATGCCCTGGGGGTGGTGGGGTGGGATCCCCTTGTGGCACAAGCCCTAGGGTGGTATGACTGCCTCTCAGGAGAAGTCAGTCTACCTGGGCATAGTTTCCAGCTGGTCCAGCTCATCCACATGCCAGAGGGTCTATTTGACCCGCTCTCCAGACATGAAGTTGAGGTGCAACATGTTCCCCCCATCCCTTGTCTCTTAGCCTGCAGTGGTGGCATGGTCCTCCCTCCCTGGAAACTCATCTCCATCCTCAGGCCCTGCCTCTTTCTTCTTGGGCATCCCCACAGCTTGGCTGCCTTGGAGTGATCTACAAAAACAAAGGAATTCCTTCTGCTTCAGGGCCTAAACAATCCCCCCTGTTTAATCATTTCTGCTGAAACTAAGGAAGTGTGGGTTAACCTGTCAAGCTCCACAAGCCTGGGCTGACCAAAACCCCTGGAAAACAAAAGAGTGGAACGAAGCGGAGAAAGGTTTTGTTGCTCTCTGACTGTTTGTGTTGGAGGGTAGCATGCGGCATTGTGCTTCTGTCTCCGGCCATGCGGGCTATAGAAGACACGGCTCCAAACCTTCCCGTGAACTACGGGTTGGTACCAGGGTTATAAATCATTCTGATCATTTGTTTATTTGCTTCAAATGCTTCCCTGCCTGCATCTCCCCTCTGTGAAATGTGGGTTAGAAGAAGGAGTTTGTTTTGCAGAAGAAAGAAATTGTGTGCCTGTACCCCCCCCCACCCCGGCAAACAGTTTTGATTCCACAGGGAATTTATTTTTTAATTGGATTAATTTCTAGCTTCTCCCAGAGTAGCAGCTGGGGTCTTTGATTCAAGAGGTTAAAACAAAGGGACATGAAACAAAAGACCAGTTTTCTGCATTCCCCACACAGCGTGTGCCTCGTGTGAGTTGCCTGGAGGTATCGTTGGGGCAGTGCATTCCTAAAGCTCTCCCCATGTCGTCCTCAGCCAGGGTCTACTGCAGGTTTTTTGGGGGTGTTTCCTGCTTTGTCTTGCCTGCAAGGTATCTGAATGAGGTTTTGCTTCCTAACCCAGCTTATGCTCCCACATAACCTTACTCCTTGGTGTCCCTTTCCTTTCCCGCTCTTCCACCCACCCTCCCACCACCCGCCCCTTCTCCAGCTCTCTTTACCCTCTATGTTTTCTGCCCCAGAGGAGACAGATGAGGCTTTTAAGATGTTAAACCAGGAGGCAGGTTTTCATGTTCAGTTCTCCTCTCTTATCTGGAGCAAGGCTCAGCCCCACCAAGGTCTGGGATATTTAGGTATTCAATTGTCTTTGAATGCTGTGGAAATTGGACATATTTTTGCTTGACTGAAGGCTTGAGGCTATCTCAGGTTCAACCCCTCATGTCTACAGACAGGGTGCATTGGACAGGTGACAGCCCAAATCCTGCTGTTAGCCCAGCATGAGGGCTGTTAGGAGATCAGAGATGCCCTTAGAAATAACTACCTTTATTATGCCCGTCCCTTCTGGCTATTTTGCCTTGGTGCCTTTGGTTTTAGGGAGTAGAGGTAGCAGAGTAGTTACTCATGTCTGTCCCAGATCTGGACCTCTAGAAGAAGTGCTTACCTTTTCCATACCTTGAGGTCTGATCAGATCAGATCATTGGGATATTAAAGTGGGGAGTTGCACAGCTTCTCTCCCTGGCTGTTGTGAATTGGTGTTCCTGCTCCATGGCTGCTGCTACATGCCTGGCTGGGATGTCTTTCATAGCACTTTGAAGGTGTCCGGACTGATATATTTGGCTTTCCTCCAGCAGCTCCTTGTTTCCTCCTGGGTCTCATTCACACTCTCCTCCTTGAAGGACTGTTTGGAATTTTAGACTCTTACAAATGATGAATGGGTGGAAGAAATACACCTCTTAGCTCCCAGAAAGATGTACAGTCCTCTGCGAATACTTATGTGTGGTGGTTGTGATGGGCTCCACTGATTTCTCTGAGAAAGAGCTCTCTGGCTATTTGGTGTGCAAAGTCCCTTTCTGCATGTCCTTCTGCTGCCCCTGCCCAGCCAGTGTCACCCAGCCAGTGCCACACTAAACAAGTATGGTCCGGTCACTCTTTGGGCTCTGCCGCCTTCCTGCAGCTTCAGAAGCCCTTCCCAGTAAGATCATATCCTTATACAAGCACAAGGATAGTTACATACATGCCAATATATTTTTATTATGCCCATAGAAACAGCCTTCCCATTTCTCTGCTGTCTGTATGTTTTCAGTATTACCCTGCACATGTGATTTCTCACCCCCTCCACTGATCCATCTGTGGCATAGGAGGGGACATTGGGAAGCAATCCTCTCTGAGGTCCTGGAAACTGAGAAGTTGCATTAGCATGATGCCATGCTGGAGCTAATTAGCCCAATATCGCAGCGGGGTTAATGGGCTTGGGCACAGTGCCACAGCTTCTGATTCCCAGGCTGAAGGGGCCGGCAGGTTCTAGCCCTGCTCTGCTCCTGGCTGTTTCCCGGAGGATTACAGGGAGAGGCAGCATGGGGCAAGAATGCGACAGAGAATCAGGGACTCAGACATGTGCCCTGAGTCCCTTCCTCCATCTCTCCTCTCCTTCTCCCCCCCGCTTCCCCCCTTGTCCTCCATCTTAATCGCGCCTCAGCTTGCAAAGTCAGAGCCCCCAGCTGTGAAGGACTAAGTCTCTTCTTCTCCCAAGCTCCTGAGCGGCAGCAGGCTGTGAGCAAGAGTGTGCCTCGTGTCACTTCTGTTGAAGAGGCTGTGAGAGCAGGAGAAGAGCTCAGACGCCGGCGGCTGCCGCACTTGGCCGCCTGCCAGGGCAGGAGCACACTCTGCGAGCATCCTCCCTCAGCCGGCCGCTTCCAGAGCTGGGAGTCTGCCCAGCACCGGGTTTTATTTCGGCATAGTTGGGAGCACCCCGCAGCTGAAGGATGTGGGGGGAGTGGTGGTGATCTCCATCAGGCTGACCTCCTTCAACCTGGATTTGGGATCGTCTCCCTTTCCAGTGTGCAGGGGAGCTCAGCGTTAAACGTCCCTCTCTGCCCCCACCCTTAATGTGCTGGGTGACGGATTTTATCTTCGATATCTGCCAGGGTGTTGCTGCTTGACATGCAGCCAGCTCCAGGCTGAGCAGGGCAGGAAAACAGCACAAAGCTGTACAGAGGAGGATGGAGAGCAAACACATCCCATTGCAAGAGAGATGGAAAGGCTTTAGATATTCCTACTGAGTTGATGAGAAGCAAACTTTTCAAAAGCTTGGCAAATCTCATTCTTAAATCATTTGGGTGCTCTTGAGTATTTCATCCAGGATTTTTGCTTTAAGGTTTTCTGCTACTGCATTCTGCTGCATTTCATGAGTTTGGGGTGTTGCTCAGGATTAGATCACACTGCTTTTCAAGACCACTGGTAGACCATTTTTTTTTACCATATCTGCCATTCTTTGACCTCTGCAGCACCTCCAGACCAATGAAATGTTCCTGTACTCACTGTTCGTCTTTCGTGCATGGCATTTGCTCATTCTCCACACATGCTTCACCGAAGGGGTCTGGCTGAGGAGGCAGAATGTTGGTCTGGGGTGATGTGACCTGGAACTGGAGCTGGTGACAGACTGGAGAGGAGTAGAGCTGTTTCTGCGGCTGAAGGATGCATGTGTACCACAGCCCTGAAAGGCATGTTTGCCCATCTTTAGGAGTTAGTCAGTCAGTCCCCAAATGTCACCTGTCCCTCCTGTACCTGTAAATGTGCATCACAGCAGGACAAGGAGGCAATTTGGAAACCACTGCAGTCTCTATGGCTACATCTAAAACACTGAATAAAATGCTCCATGCATTGGCTCTGCTTAGTTTAGTTCTGCAAACACATTCTATGAAGATATAGCCCTTTTACAATTTGTGGGGAATTACCTGTTTGCCTTCTCAAGTTTAGCCATTTGGTGCCTTCACTTATTTAAATAATTTTAAAAAGAGGCACACATTGGTATCCTGTGTCTGTGGTTTTTGCATCTGGAAATACAGACACCATCACATATTTCACACGTGATACCCTGGGAAAAAAAAGGAATCTGCCCCCAAAGTCTGCAGAATTCTGTTCTGAAAAGTTAAATAAATTGTTATCGCTTCTTAAGTGCCATAATAAATGTATGGAATGATCTCACATAAAAGCTGGAGGCTTAGAGAGTAGGTGCTAAAGAAATGCATCAAATTAGACCAAAAAAGAGGCATAAAATCTATGTTATCCCAAAAGATAAAGGCTGCCGGCTTAAGCGACTTTTCTGTTTGCTGCTGTGCTAAACATCAAATTCATTTTTCTGCCTAAAAGAATTTGCATCTCTGCAGTGAGCAGATCTGAAGGCTTTGTTTTTCCAGAGAGGTGGGGGAAAAGTAGGAAATGATGAAACCAGACACGGTTTGTAAGCGAAGGGTCACAGATGGGTGAAGCCTTGCTGACGTTAAAACTAACAAACAAGCAGTTGGAGATGCTCTTGGAGCATCCTGAACATTTAGAACTGAAGAGGTTTGAGTTTGTCTCAGCAACATTATGTATGTATATGCATGTGTTATATATTATAATGAATATGATAATTACAGGAGATAATTTATAATATATGTGTATTATATACGAGTGCCTCCTCAGAAGGCTAAAACAATGCCATGAGAGTGTAAAGAAATGTGAAATATAATTACTGTAGCTGTGTAAGTGAAGTAATGAGGAGCTTGAGAGTGTGACTGATATGCAATTAGATACTAAACTAATGAGCAAGCTGTCTACAGTCCATCAAAAGAGTGAGGGAGGCTTGTGCAAGACACCCCTAGCATTGCAAAGAGGATGATATACCACATCCAAATGCAGCTCACTAATGACTGGAGACTGTGTGCTCTGCTCAGGGAAAAACCATTAAGCAGCCAAAAAACCTGTGGCAGACCTGCAGGGGATAAGGACAGTAAAAAGTACAATATATATAGAACTGCAAGCTGTAGCTTGGATTGAAGGTTCTGGATTAGTGACTCCCCAGAATTTGGTTTGCTGTGCTATCTTACCCCAGATAAAACAGTCATGGTGAGAAATTTGTGTCAGGTTGGGTTGTGTGGATGGCAATGTATGTCTTGCCTTGGGAGAGCCAGGCTGGGAAGGGGCAGCAGAGAGCCAGGCAAAGGAAGTGGAGGCAAAGACAGCAGGCACTCTTGGGGAAAGGCACTCAGAGCTCACTGTGTCCTGTTATAACAATACTTACACTGGATAGATGTCTGTCTACAGGAGCTTATTCTTCAGCAGGTATTAATTGTTGTAAGCTGAAATTTTCCATCCTGGTGTTGACTTCAGGCTGTTAGTTCTTTCTAAGAGAAAGTTTCAGCTGAAGCAGGTTAGTTATCTCCAAAATGGAAACTAGGGTAAATTTACCCCTGGCTTTTTTTATGGTTGTTTTGCCTGTGGGATAAATATCCAGGCTCTCTTTTTTTTTTTTTTCTTTTTTTTCTTTTTTCTTCTATTTTTTTTTTTTTACTTTTTTTCCCCTAAATCATGGATTTCTCATGGTTTCATTTGAGGACTTGACATTTTGCAAGAAGATGCAGGCAGGTAACTTGTGCCATTTTGGTAAGCGTTCAACCAAACTGGA